CGGGTCTTTCACTTATGATACAGAGAGAAATCGTGGAGTGTTTGTCTTAACGTGTGAAAACGTTACATCAAAGACAAATTATTTGTTGGAGATTAGGTTGGAGTTTTGACTTCTTAATTAAAATTGATAGGTTGTCTAGTAAAAAGTTGTCAATAATAATCAAGATCATGATTAACATAAGTTGTTAATAAAGCGAATATGCTATGTGTTTATATAATATTATATTAAAATCCAATTTGCTCTTTAAAGTATTTGAAGGTTGTTTTCAAATAAAATCTTTTCTTTATTATTGGTTTAGCAGCTAAGCATAATTAACTTTTAAATCTATTTACTATACCATTGATGTTTAGTTTCTAGTTTCTAGTTTCTACACGTGAATGATACTAATTTTCTGATTTTGTTGAATATTAATTCTTTTGGATAATGATATTTATATCAGTCGTGTAGAACTTGTACTTATTAATTTTCATTCCGTATATTTTTAATTTAAAATTTGGTATAATTATACCCAATCAATCGATGACACAAGTGAGGCAACAAACGTTATCCGAACTAGAAACGTGCAAGAATTATTGCTTTCATAACCAACAAGTAATATGTCCATGACCATGTGGACTACAACATCTCGAACCCTACAAAGTTTTGGCCTTAAAATCACATGTTTTTGTCAAAGTATAACGAGAGGTTTATGACTTTATGTTTATCGTCATAAGCATACAAAAAATCTTATATCAATGGCTAATATGCTCACATTAATCTGTTTTCCTGAATAAAGCTAAAGATTGTTTCCTTTCTTGTGTGATTGATTATAAAAAGGGTCAAAATTTGGTTACACATGAGCAAAATCGAAATAACTTTAAACCGTCTTCTGTTTCTTGTGTTGTGTCGAGCCATCGTTAGATCCTTTACCATCCTTCTTCTGACCAACGCCGCCACCACCGCGTCCTCTCTTATTAGATCCCTGGTTGATTGAAGAAAGCAAATAACAGAGAAAAAAGTTAGCGCGAATAATACATCAAGTAGAGAAAAAGAAAAGAGTTAGCTATGTTACTCATGTCTTACATTGGGGTTGAAGGTTTTGAGCGGGTCACCGCCTTTTCTGGATCGTTTCTTGTTTGTGCGACCACCACCTCCACCGGATCTTCTACTGCCGCCCATTGCGGCTCTAGCTAGCTTCACCATCTTGCTTGCTTCTTGAGTCTTTGGGTCCACTAGATACTCGGGGATGTCCTTTAGATGGGGTGCAGGCGCAGTCTTACTGAGAGGCTTGTCGTGTTTCAACAGATCCAAGTCTTTCGGATTAGCTTCAAAATGAGCCTTTAACCTGAAGAAAGAATAGAAAAATTAAGAATCAGAGAAAACAACACACACCTTAAAAACAGTTTGTGTTCTTGCTTCCTTACTTTTCGGAGTTGATTATCTCATTCCTTAAATCCTGAGCTCGAGACTCTCGAATCGCAATCCTTGTAACGCTCTTTGCAACATCCTGAAACAAAATTTCAAGTTTAATACTTTACTCACTTGATCAAGCAGGTATCTTACTACAGACATTACTCACCTCAGCTCTATATCTTAAAGATTCAACAGCATTTTTGGTCAACGAAGAAAACGGTGTGATAATATCAGTGTCCTTGTCCTCGTCGCCTGCTAAGAAGGACTTTATTTCTTCAAACCCTTCCATCTCATCAGGAGAAACCTGTGGGGCAAACAAAGAAAAAGCATTAGACTTGCTAATTTAAAGAGATTGTGTCAATAAAACAGTATTATCAGATGAGAAACTCACAAGAGAAATGGAAGAACCGCTGCTATATGCTCTCCCTGTACGCCCAATTCGATGAATATATCCTGTAACACTTTGAGGCATATCATAGTTTATGACCTGTACATAAAAATGGTTTTAAGAAAAGGATAAGAATCTAAAACAAAGAGAAAAAAGCAAAATTCTATTAAGATTCCAAAACAGCAACGATTAAAGGAAAGAAAACCGCCTAGAGCAAAGTCGAATAGCATACCGTGTGAACTTTTTTGAAATCGATTCCCCTAACTACACCGAACTCAGCGTCCAGCTTTGGTTTGCCACGTCTTTTGTTTTTTTTATCATCCTTGTTATCTTCACCTTTAGATTCTTCCTTTTCTTTAGTCTGGTTATTATCATCCGTTGCAATCAAATAATCGAAAAGACCTGCATTGAATTGCTGTACAAACACACAATCATTGATTATGAAATGCAAGCTATTTCAGGGAAAACTTAGTTCAGGTGTGTGACTTGGTGATGTACCTCAAGGATATGAAGCCGAGAATTCTGAGGCAACTCCCCATTTAAAATTGCAGACTTGATTCCAAACTGGCAGAACCAAAACAAAACAAAAATTAATCCACTATTATTGCTACAAGATAGTACCATAGATTTCAGCAAACCACACAGAGAGTGACCCAAATCAGATTGCACACGTAGGTAACCAAAACTTACCTTTTCCAAGAATAATTTCAACCTGAAACCCATGTCAATCGAATTGACGAATGTCAAAATCTTTTTCTGAACCACCTCAAGCTTCAAGAGAGCAAGAATGTGAAGAAGTTTATCCTGAGCACTGCAAGAAATCTAAGACAAGATAAACAAACCAATCATCATTTATCAGACACAGAACGGTGCACGTATACACCAAACATAATCAGTAAAATTGACTTGAACAAATATAAGTGACCAAATCATACCCAAAACTGCTGAACATTACTTGGGACTGCCTCTTCCTTGTCATTACCTTCTTGCAAGGTCAAAACGACTGGGTTGTGCAGAATCAATTTCTTCAATTTCTCAACATCAGAACTAAGATTTTGCAAAATATTAATCAATTAACCATTCAAGACACACATCAAAGGAAAATGTGAATTTTTTTAACTGGAATTGTTATTATCAAGAGATATGTTACCATGTGGTAGCAGACATAAGAAGGCGTAGGCATCGTCTTGGGATTATTGAAATTACAGACCTTAGATTATCTTCATATCCATATGATAACAAAAGATCTGCCTGATAACATAAATATATCAACATCTCCGCAACGAGAGGAATCGAAAGAAAGCACGATATAACCTTTAAGAAGAAATGAATGCGTAAACAAAAAAGACTTATATTCAGAGCATATACTTCCATAGTTTTCCAAGAAAATCAAATCATGCAACTTCCACTTAAAAAGACTGATTATCTATTGAACTCATTAAGGCAAGAAATTCCAAGGAAAGTAGAACATACCTCATCAAGAACCAGAATTTCAAGCGAGTCACTAATAGCCTTAGGCTCTAAAACTCCAGCAGCAAAACATTTTGGAATACAAGCCGGTGTAGTGACAAGAATCTCAGGCAATCCAGCCAATGCGTTACGCTGTAATTGGAAAAGGAAACAATCAAACTCAAACATGAACACACAAGTCATAAAAATGGATTAAACACTACAGTAAGACGATTGAAATGCAACGACTAACCATATCAGATGCAGGCATGGTACTAGCTAACTGCACTACTTTAAGTTGAACACGACACAACTCAATAAGCGAAGAAACCTCAGTGTAAACCTGTTTCCAAATCTCCCATGAATCATTGAAATTTATGAAAGTAAGAAAAAATATGAAACAATCGTCCAAAAACATACTTGGTGACTTAATTCTCGAGATGGAACTAGAATGAAAGCAGAAGGAGCAAGCTTCTTCTTGTTCCCAGATACTGAAAATAGCTTCTGAAGCAATGGCAAAAGGTAAGCCAAGGTCTTACCTGACCCTGTCTTTGCCCTAGCAACCACATCTTTCCCTTCCTAAAAGAACACAAACAACAAAACCATTACAACAAAACTTCAATCCAATAAAAAAAACACCATAAGAACCCTAAAGTTTGAAACTTTAATTTATTACCAGAATGTACGGAATAGCTGATTGCTGAATAGGAGTTGGTTTCTCAATACCCTTTTTAGTTAGAGCTCGAATTAGACGAGAATCAAGCCCTAGCTCCTCGAAAGTCTTATCTGCCTCCTCTTGTTCTTCTTCTTCTCCGACGTCTCTCTGTTCTTCAACTTCCTCTGCTTTCTCAACTTCTTCCACTTCCGGTTTCACATCCTCCACAGCTTTGAACTTCTCTTTACCCATTGAACCCAGAAATCTCTGCTAAAATCAAAATCGTGACTTGAAAGGAGAAAGCTTGAAAAAACGGCGCAATGAGGTAGAAGAAGAACAAGGAGTAGTGAAAAAAAAAAACCTTTCTTTGTTTGTGTGTCTTTTGATTTGGGCTTTTTTCTTAGTGGGCTTTTATTTGTCTCTGTTAAAAAATATTATTAAAATAATAAAGTTTCAATTTTTTAATTCAAAGAAAACGACTGTTCACAAATCACAATTTGCATTGAAGATGAAGAAGATACGTTTGGTGGATGCAATCTTAATAAAGAAAGGATTTTTATATATAGCAAAGAAGAAGAAGGAAGTAATCAATTTGAGATTTGACTTAGCGTCATCAACTTCGCCACTTTCGATCTTTAATCAGAGATTTTGGTTTAAGTGGGTTCGTTGAAGAAGGACGGAGATATCGGAGACGAGTTTATGGAGGCGATTCTGTACGTTAATGGCGTTCGTAGAGTTTTGCCTGATGGGTTAGCTCATATGACACTTCTCGAGTATCTCAGAGGTGCGTAACTCTTTAACTACGTAATCTCTTTAACTATGTTCTTTTTCTTTTTTGGGTTTTTGTGTTTTGGTTTCCGACAAGATCCGAGTGGTGGGGATGATTGAAAGTATATAAAGAAGTTCACTTTTCAATTTTGACTGATACTATTTGTGAAGAATCAGAATTAAGAAGCTTGTATATGCCAATTAGCTGAGTTGTGGAATCTTGATTTATGTTTGATTCACTAGCTAGCTCACTTATGTCTCTGAATTTGAAAAATGATTGGGTATGTAAGAATATGCTGCAAGAGCGAGATTCGTTGTTGCTTGCAGAAATCATTTGTTTATGAAGTTTTTTTTTCTGACTTGTAGATGATTTTCTTGTTTCCTTTAGATATAGGATTGACCGGGACAAAGCTTGGATGCGGCGAAGGTGGTTGTGGAGCTTGCACGGTGATGGTCTCTAATTACGACAGAAAATCAAAGACATGCGTGTGCGTCTCTATTCCTCTTGATACATTTTGCTCAGGTGTTGGTGGACTTCTTGTTGATTTTGTTCATACGGAAAATGTTATTGCAGGCATTATGCTGTCAACGCTTGCTTAGCGCCTCTTTATTCAGTAGAAGGAATGCATGTAATATCCATTGAGGGAATTGGGCATCGCAAACTTGGCTTGCACCCACTTCAGGTAAGTTTTACTTCTTTCAGGTTCTAGTTTCTGGAGGATCTATGTCAGCTGCTAAAAATTGTTGTGATACTAATTCTCTCAGGAGTCAATGGCATCTTCTCATGGTTCGCAATGCGGGTTTTGTACTCCCGGGTTTATCATGTCGATGTATGCGTTATTGAGGTCAAGTAAAAACTCACCTTGTGAAGAGGAGATTGAAGAATGCCTTGCTGGAAATTTATGTCGTTGTACTGGTTATAGACCCATCGTTGATGCTTTTCGAGTTTTTGCAAAATCTGATGATGCTCTGTACTGTGGTGTATCTTCACTTAGCCTTCAAGATGGTTCAAACATTTGCCCGTCTACTGGAAAACCTTGTTCTTGTGGATCAAAAACAACAAATGAAGCGGCCAATTGTAATGAAGATAGAATTCAGTCCATCTCTTATAGTGATATAGATGGGGCGAAGTATACGGATAAGGAGCTTATTTTCCCCCCTGAACTTTTGATGAGGAAATTAGCTCCTTTAAAGTTAAGGGGAACTGGGGGGCTTACCTGGTATAGACCTGTAAGTCTTCAGAACTTGCTTGAGCTCAAAGAAAATTATCCCGATGCAAAACTACTGGTAGGTAATACGGAGGTGGGAATCGAAATGAGACTGAAGAGGTTACAGTACCAAGTCCTAATCTCTGTTGCTCAAGTCCCAGAACTCAACGCATTGAATGTCAATGACAATGGGCTCGAGGTTGGTTCGGCTTTGAAACTTTCTGAACTTCTGAGGTTATTCAGGAAGGTTGTAAAGGAGCGTCCTGCGCATGAAACATCTGCATGCAAAGCTTTTATCGAGCAGCTGAAGTGGTTTGCTGGGACACAAATAAGAAATGTTGCTTGCATTGGTGGAAACATCTGTACAGCTAGTCCAATATCTGATTTAAATCCTCTTTGGATGGCTTCAAGAGCAGAGTTTCGGATAATCAACTGCAATGGAGATGTTAGATCTGTACCTGCAAAAGATTTCTTCCTTGGTTATCGTAAAGTGGATATGGGAAGCAACGAGATCTTGTTGTCGGTATTCCTTCCGTGGACCAGGCACTTAGAGTATGTGAAAGAATTTAAGCAGGCCCATCGTAGGGATGATGATATAGCTATTGTCAATGGTGGAATGCGTGTGTTTTTTGAAGAGAAGGGGGAACAATTGTTGGTTTCTGATGCATCAATTGCTTATGGTGGTGTGGCTCCTCTTTCGTTGCGTGCCAGAAAGACTGAGGAATTTCTAATTGGAAAGAATTGGAATAAAAGTCTTCTGCAAGATGCTCTTAAGTTCATACAAAGTGATGTTTTAATTAAGGAAGATGCTCCTGGTGGAATGGTGGAGTTTCGGAAATCTTTAACACTAAGCTTCTTCTTTAAATTTTTCTTATGGATTTCTCATCATGTACATAATGTAAAGCCAACGATAGAGACCTTCCCACCACCTTCCCATATATCAGCTGTGCAACCTGTTTCTAGGTTATCTAGAGTTGGAAAACAAGACTATGAGACTGTAAAACAAGGAACATCTGTTGGCTCGCCGGAGATCCATCTTTCAGCGAAAATGCAGGTATGTTGGTCTATCCACTCCAATTTAAGTGGCACGTCTTTTGCTTTTCTCTGGGGTAACATATGTTCACTATGTAATTCTTATGTTGATTGATGTTTGTGATAAGAGTAAAATAGAGATGATGGTTGTGACATCAAAACAATCTGGGGTTACATATGTCCACTATGTCATGAACAATATAGACGTTGAGTTAGCATCGGGCAATCTTTTGTCGATATCTTATATAGCTCTGTATAGGTAAGTTAAGCCTGCAAAGGTTAAGTAGAGGAGAAGGAGAAAATAAGCTTATATAGCTCTTGTCCTCCATTGGAGTTGAGCTCCATTTCTGTTTCACATAAGCTTCGTCAAGACCATGACTCGCAATCGATTGAACAACTGAGGACTTTTCCAACCAGTCATATTCGAGTCCCACAGTAGGTGGCTCCTGATCAGCTCCAACACGAACCAACACATC